CCCAGGCTCCGCACGCTCAGGCTCAGCACCCCCCGGCTCCACACGCTCAGGCTCAGCACCCCCAGACGCAGCACCCCTAGCAGCACCAGAGTCGACAGCTACCTCGACAGGCTCGACAGGGTCTACCTGAGACACACCTGAGGGAGCAGGACTCTGAGGGGGGAGGGGCTCTACCGGAGGAGGACCTGGTGCGAGGAAGAGCGGCGGGGGGGGGAGAGGGGCAGTGCGGTAGGGAAGAGACGGTAAAAGGGAACCGACTCGTCGAACGTGACGTCTTGAGAGGGCAGGACACGGCGCGAGGTGGGGTGGTAAAACTGCCAGCCAGGCGCGTCAGGGGGAAAACCAAGGAAGACGCAGGGAATTGCGCGGGCGGAGAGCTTGTCCGCGGACGTATCGCGGACAAAGGCACGAGAACCCCAGACCCGGAACACCGACGCATCGCCAACCTTCCCCGTCCAACGCAGTGTAGGCGAGGTCTCCGGCAAGGAGACACGGGGCCAGAGGTTGAGCTGATGCGCAGCGTATCGGACCGCAAACGGCCACAGAAAATGGGGGGCAGCCGCATGGATCATGGAGGTACGAGCGACCTCCATGACTAAGCCAATGCGGTGCTCAGCAACCCCATTCTGCTGCGGAGAGGTTGGAAGCGTGAACGACTGGAGAATGCCCTCCCCACGACAAAAGTCCCGCAAGAGGTCGGAGGAAAACTCACCACCTCTGTCAGAGTGCAGACGCAGGACAGGAAGGTCCGTGTGGAAGCGCTCGCGGAGTTGGAGACGGACAGCGCGGATCCAAGGGATCAAAACATCAGGGACCAACCCCTTGCTGTGCAAGGGGAAGACCGTGGTGTAACGCGAGTAGTCGTCAACAACCAGCAGAAAGTAGCGCTCGCGGCCCTGTCCACGAACGCGGGCTGGGCCCCACACGTCCATGTGGAGAGTCTGCAGGGGAGCAGTCGTCGGGGGAAACGAGGAGGAGTGGGGAGCGGCGCGCTGCCGCCCCTCGACACAAGGAAGGCAGGGAGGGATAGGCGAGGGTGGGAGGGGAGGCAGAGACCTGGGGAGACCAGAGACAAGGACACGGGAGTGCATGCCGCGGAGGCGCTGCACGGAGGGGTGACCAAGGCGGTCGTGCCAAAGGAGCGTCCGGTGTGACAGGGCGCGACACGAGCAGGGGGCCGCTAGCTGACCTGACGCAGACGCAGACGCAACTACCTGAGGAGACACGGTAGTCAGTGTGTACAGACTCGACCCAGGCGCACGGGTGAACGTGGCCAGGTGCCGGCCAGTCCGGGAGCACGTACAGATCGCCACACGCTGTCCGCCAGGGGTGAAGGTGTCAACCCATTCATCCTGAAGGACTGCGTTGCTCACCAAGTTCATAGAGAACGAGGGGAGGTGAAGACCTGACAGTGAGCCAGACGGAACCGCCGGACACGGGAGAACAGTGGAGGAACGTGCAAGGACTGGGCCCCCAGAGGGGTCAGCCAGAGAGACTGCAACAGGTGCAGGGAGTGGTGTGACTGTGGTACTTTCGCGAAAGAAACAGCGGGAAGCACCTGAGTCAAGCGTGAAAGTGTGCAAGGCCGCAGCAGGCGCAGAACCAGAGAGAGCAGACTCACCAGCACCTAGAGCAGCAGACTCAGTAGCACCTAGAGCAGCAGACTCACTAGCACATAGAGCAGCAGACTCTCTAGCACCAAGAGCAGCAGCCTCTATACTTGGGTCGGGTGGCACACACAGGTAACAGTCACCCTCAGCACTAACAGTCAATGCATACATGGCAGTGAGGATAGCATCATAGTCAAGAGCAAAGATATCCACCCTCTGCCTAAGCAGCTCCAGCCAGCGGGGGAGCTCAGCCGCGTCGCCAAACTCTGCACGCCAGGCGTCGCTCAGACAGGCGAAGCAGCGGGACTGTGTGTGACCAACTGTCCCGCAAGTCTGACCAGCCCGATCACCTGTGCGAATGACGTACGGGCAGCGAGCAGTACTCCGAGACCCCCTACTCTGAGCGTACCACTCACGAAGATGCTGGGGCGTAAGGGTCTCGCGCGGACGCCGCTGCAGCTGCATCTGGCCACCGCCAGAAACTCCCGACTTGACAGCTCCACTGCAACTGCCACGACGGCCGCCGCCACTACTGCAACTAGCGTACCACTCACGAAGCTGCTGGGGCGTGAGGGACTCGTGCGGACGTCGCTGGAGCTGCATCTGGCCACCGCCAGAAACTCCCCACCGAACAGCTCCACCGAGACTGCCACTACGGCCGCCGCCACCACTCCCACTGCTGCCACCACTGCCGCCACAACTCCCACCGCTATCACGAAGAGACGTCATAGCGGGCAAGCAAGGAGGCGCGCGACCAGTAGGGCAGCACGGAGGGAAGGCAGGGCGGCGAGCAGGCACTAGGGAAGGTCGGGGCGGCGCACGGTCAGGGAAGAGCGGCGCGCGGCCAGAGTAGGGCGGCGCGCTGCAGCAGGGCGGCGCGCGGGCTGCAGAGGGCGGCGCGCGGGCAGGCAGGGGCGGCACCTAGGGCTCTTTTTTTTTTTTTTTTTTTTTTTTTTTTTTTTTAGGGTTTAGCAGGGCGCGCTGGGCAGCAGGGCGCGCTGGCGCGCTGGGCAGCGGGGCGCGCTGGCGCACTGAGCAGCGGGGCGCGCTGGTGCGCTAGGCAGCGGGGTGCGCTGGCGCGCTGGGCAGCGGGGCGCGCTGGCGCACTGGGCAGCGGGGCGCGCTGGCGCGCTAGGTAGCGGGGCACGCTGGCGCGCTGGGCAGCGGGGCGCGCTGGCGCGCTGGGCAGCGGGACGTGCTGGCGCGCTGGGCAGTGGGGCGCGCTGGGCTGCAGGGGCGGCACGCGGGCTGCAGGGGCGACGCGCGAGCTGCAGGGGCGGCTCGCGGGCTGCAGAGGAGGCGCGCGGGCTGCAGAGGGCGACGCGCGGGCTGCAGGGGCGGCGCGCGGGCTGCAGGGGCGGCGCGCGGGCTGCAGGGGCGGCGCGACGGGGGGCAGGGCAGGGCGTGCGCGGGGCAGCGCGACGCGGGGCAGGGCAGGGCATGCGCGGGGCAGCGCGACGTGGTGCAGGGCAGGGCGTGCGCGGGGAAGCGCGACGCGGGGCAGGGCATGGCGTGCGCGGGCAGCGCGACGCAAAGCAGGGCGTGCGCAGGGCGGCGCGACGCGGGGCAGGGCAGGGCGTGCGCGGGCAGCGCGACGCAGGGCAGGGCGTGCGCGGGGCGGCGCAACGCAGGGCAGGGCAGAGCGCGCGCTAGGCTGCGCAACGCAGGGCAGGGCAAGACAGCCACAGTGCAGATCAACTGACACCCCCCCACACTGGGAGGCCCAGGACTGAGCACAGCGGCAACCGCCTGCATGTGCATACACCGGGATTCGAACCCGAGACCGCTCTGATACCATGTCAGAATTAGTAAGCGAGAATGAATGAACTAGTAGCAAGATGGGTACAAGTAGCAAACCCTAATTGGGTTGTACCCCATATGGGCTACCCCCCTATAGCCTACACAATAAGCAGCATATAAGTTTGACAGAACCACCAGAAGAGCCGCTCACCAGCAGTGGCGACGGCGGTCATGCTCGCAGGAGCACGGGCGGCAGTGGCTGCGCAGGGCGCGAGGGCAGGGGGAAGAAGGGCAAGGCGCGGACGAGCGACCCGTCGCTGAAGGCGTTTGAGGGCGAGCTGCGCGCGCGGTACAAGCGACTGAAGGACCTGCGAGGAGGACGAGGACCAGCTCGAACTCGCCACTGCGTGCGTCAAGAACTCTCGCGCACACCTGGAACTGCTTCAACTGCTTTGGCGCTTAATTGTTGTGCCTGTGCCGTCAATGTACTTGAGCTCTCTCCCTATGACGGCCTCATCCGGCTCGCCTTTTTTTCCCGCCTCCCTTACTTGCTACTGCATGTTGACTCGAATTCATCTCTTGTTGTGTCCTGTTCTGCCACCTATTGGCTGCTGCTAAACCCCGTCTCCCCTGGTGGGTGCAGGCACAAGATGATGGGGCTGCACCGCCATCCGTGGCACTGCATCGAGCTCTATTAATGGGCGCCAGGTGTCATGCCATGCCATGCCACCAAGCCATGTGTCATTGTCACCACACTATGCTATGTCATGCCATGTCATGGCATGTCATAGCATCATGATGCACAGGATTATTTAGTGCCACTTCTCTCAGGCCTCATCACCCTATGCGCCCTTGTTCTACTAAACCCACAATGGTGCCTGAACCCTAAACCCTGAAACTTCTAACCCCCTTCATACCACTTTTTCCCCTCAAGCCCACCAACCCCTCCCCTTCACCCACTCTGCTCCATCTCTTCCCCACCCGCACAATAGGCACAACGCGCTGTGCGCTGGTAGGCTCGTTCAACGACTGGGACGGCACAAAAGCCGTGTCAGAAAAGGGCCAAGCACGGTGCAACAAGCTGGGCGTGCACCGCGTGGTGCTGCAGGAACGCCTACGCGCAGGGCACCAGGCAGACCCGTTCGGATAGGAGTATAACTATGATGTGGAGACGGATAGTGGTGACAGGGACTTGGACTCGGAGGGGTTGTATAGGGCCGCTCAGGAGGGGTACTGGGAGGAGGGCGAGAACCATCTGGTGCATGAGTATGTGGACCCGGATTTGGAGGAGGAGGCGGAGGAGGGGGGTTCGGGTGGAGGGAGTGTGGTGAGAGGATGTGGGATTGGAGGAGGGGGAGGAGGGGTTGAGAGGTGGGAGGAGTGGCGTTGGTGGTGGTGGGGGAGGGGAAGACGGCGGGAAGAAACATGTGCGGGGCAAGGAGTGGAGAGAGAAGGTGAGGGCGGCAGAGGCATACAAGAGATGGGTGAGCGGGCCGATGCACTTGAGTGAAGCAGAGCAGCGCGAGAAGGAGGCAGACGGTCAAGAATCGCAAAAAACCACACGCAGGCAGCAGGCAAAAGCAGCAGGCGCAGGCAGCAGCAAATCCAGCAAGGCAAGCAAGCTACCGCCCATCGCAGTGCCGTACACAGGCAGTGAGGGCGTGGGCGTGGGCGTCTGGCAGCTGCTTAAAGACCCTGCATGGGCAGCATACGTGGAGAACAAGCAGCTGCCGTACCCGTACTGGCTGGCGGAGAGGAAGGGGCGTGCAGCATGGGCGAGGAAGTATGAAGCGGTGGTGAGGCGTGTTGAGCACGGGGATCGGTGGAGGGTGCAGCTGAGCACGGCTCAAGGCGTGTTGCAGCGCGTGTCCGCGTGGGCCACGTTTGTTACTCCAGGTGGGGTGGGGGATGGATGTGAGGGGTGTTGTCGGTTGGTGGTTTGTGGCGTGTGTCTGTGTGAGTGGGTGGGGTGAGGTTAGAGTGAGGGGTCTGTGGTGTGTGTGTGGCTGCAGGTGTGATGCCGCTGGGTACTGTGCTCATGCGCTGGATCGCCACATGTGTGATGTACCAATTACTTGAATTAGAATCCGAATGGGTGTTTCTTGTGCATCATACCCATTGCATCATGTTCTCATCTCAACATGTGCAAATTGTGCGCCTCCTGGCCTTTAACGCCGTGCAGAGGACAGGGAGGGGCGGAGGTGAAGTGGGGTGTTGTGGGACCCGCCTCTGGGCGAGCGGCACCAGTGGCAGCACACAGCGCCCCCCCGCCCGCGCACCCTACGCGTGTACGAGGCACACTTGGGCAGCAGCGGGGGGAAGGCGGGGAGAGCGCGCAGTGCAGGCGAGGAGGAGAGGGGCGTGTTGAGAGGGGAGGGGGAGGGGGAGGAGGGCAGGGTGGAAGGAGGCGAGGGGGAGCGGGTGGAGTGGCGTGGAGGTAGTCGGGAGGTGACGAGCTTCGATGAGTTCACTGATGCGGTGAGCCTCAGGGGTGTATTATGGATGGTGCATGGCGCATGAGGCATGGCGCGTGGGGCATGGTGCATAGTGCATGGTGCATGGGGCATGCCGCATGGTGCATGGTGCATGGTGCATGCATGGTGCATGGTGCATGGTGCATGGTGCATGGAGCAAGGTTCATGGTGAATGGTCCATGGTGGATGAGCCATGGGCATGGAGCGTGGTTCATGGGGTATGGGGTATGGGGCATGGGGCATGGGCATAAGGCATGGGCATGGGCCATGGGCATGGATGAATGGAATACTGCGTGATAATTTCTCCCGCGGCCCGCCCAAGTTTCCCGTTAGCACAAGTCTCCTAGCCCTTCCCTCCTCCCCTCATCACACTACCCTACCCCTCACCACCTCTATCCCCGCGCATCTACCTATTGCTCCCTACCCACCCCCTGGCCCGCGCCCCTGCAGGTGCTGCCGCGCATCAAGGCGGCGGGGTACAATGTGGTGCTGCTGCTTGCCATCATGGAACACCCCGACTATGCCTCGCTGGGCCTCAAGGTGCGCGCAAGGGCCGAGGGGTGAGGGGCAAGGTATAAGAAATTGATGCACACGCCGAGGGGCAAGGGGCAAATTGGTGCGGCGGCTGCTACTGCTGCTGCTGCTGTCGCTGCTACTGCTGCTGGGCATCATGGAGCACCCCCCGACTATGCCTCGCTGGGCCTCAAGGAGGGCGTAGGCACTGGGGCCGCCAGTGACGAAATGATTGATTGAGTTTTGGAACTCAATGATTTTTACAACAACAACAGGTTGAAGAGAGCTCAAATGGCACCACGGAGGGACAATATTGAAATTTCCCGTTGGTGAGTTGCGATTTCTGGTGGATCGCATTTGCGTGACATTGGGGTTGGTGTGTGTGAAACACCCAGTCTCACCCAAATTGCGAGTAGAAAGTGTGTCCACCACACACACACAATTGTGTGAGATTGTTGTGAGTCTCCACGACAAGGTTGGTGTGTGTGAGGAGCAGTGACGTGACGGGCTGTGTCTGTTAAAAATTGCCGTTACACAGCGGCAGTGTGGGCGTGGGGGGAGCAGAGTGCGAAAAGGAGTGGGAAGGGGAAGTGCATGGAGACGTGAGGGTGGGTGGGGTGGGAAGAAATCGAGGCACATGCGGCGAGTAGCAGGCGGATTAGCACTTTGAGAGTTGCGTTGGTGACCTGCTCACTCACACATTGCTTGGTGCCACAACGGCTGCTGCTCATCACGGGTGTCTCTTGTACTCCCACCGGCCTCCATTTCCCCATGCACGTCCATTCATTATTCTCTTCCCTCCTTCCCCAACCCCACCTCCCGCCCCCTGGCGTTTGTGTGTGTGCCGCGTTGTGCATCGCAGGTGTCGAGTCCCTTTGCAGTGAGCAGTCGCTTTGGCTCCCCGGATGCTTTCAAACGACTCGTCGACACCGCACATGGTCAGAAAGCGGTGGGGATGCGCGTGTTGAGGTAGTGAGTGTGGTTTGATGAGGGGGCGGTGACCAGAGTAGCACAGGGAGTATGTGCTGTGCATGGCACGGGGAAGGCAGTGTTGCTTGGCAGACAACCACATGCGCCCCACCAGGTGAATGGACTCGTACGCTTAACAACACCCCCTCGCTCCTCCTCACCCTTCCGCCCCCGCCCGCATTCTCCACACCCCCCTTCCTCACGCGCACGCTCTACCAGACATGGGGCTGCTGGTGATGATGAGCGTGGTGCACTCACAGGGTGGTGTGGGTGTGCTTAAGATTGGGTGCACCCAAAAGTGCACCCACTCCCCTGAGATTGGGTGAAGAGAAGATGAATCAAGGTAGCGGAAATGCAGCTGAGACGAGGAGTGAACCGCCACCATCCAAGATCGAAGCTTTGGATGGCTCCAATTATGAGGAATGGAGTGGGCGGATGAGGAGCTCTTTCAAGCGCTACAGGCTGCTGAAAATTGCGATGGAGGAAGAGAAGATGCCGGAGGAAGGAGATGCTCGCAATCGATGGATTGAGAAGAGCACGGTGCTGTACGACCTCATCCTCCAATCGATCAACAACGATATGTTCCAGCACATCAAAGACTTAGTGGAGCTGGACGACTCCGGACCGAAGGCGTGGAAGCTACTGCGCGATGCGATTCAGCCCAACACGCAGCCGATGGTGATTGTGTTGGAAAAGGAGTTGGCTGCCCTCTCCATGCGACCGGGCGATGATGTGAAGCCGGTCCTTGACAAGTTTCAAAACACCTATGCGAGGATGGCAGCAGCAGGCAGCAAAGTGTCGGAGATGCAGCAGTGCACCAAAATCATCTCGGTGCTCGACAACTCATGGGACAACCTCATCCCCACCCTCAACCCTCAGCAGGACCAGTGGACACCAGAGTGGCTACGGTAGCAGATTTTGCAAAAGGACTTCCGCAGACGTCACACGGGTGGTGGTGCTGCCAACAAGACTGCTGAGGGGTATGGAGCTGCAGGAGGCAGCAGAGGAAGAGGGGGAGGGAGAGGCCGAGGCCGTGGGAGAGGCTTTGGCAGAGGGAGAGGCCGAGGTGACTACAACGAGGGGCATCGGAGCTCTGGTGGCAGGGGGAGCACTCGAATGGAGGGTGTCTGCTGGCATTGCAAGAAGGCTGAACATCCGTGGTATAAATGTTTCAGCCGCCCTTAGGGATGGGCGCCTCCAGGCATGAAGCCGCCAAGTGGTGAACGCGCATGAGGTGGCGTTGTGCAAGGTTCAGGTGCACAAGGTGATGGTGCACAAGGTAAAGCCTCCCCTGGGATGTTCCTCACGGTTGAAGATGTGAAAGGGAGTGAGGGTGATGTAGGATCGGCTGGGAAGGTTGTGATGCACCCCCTCACCCACTAGGTGATCGATTCAGGTTGCACAAGTTACATGACCCCACGGGCAGATTTGCTTGATGAGGTAAAGCCCCCTGGGACGATCAAGCTTGTGGCTGCCGCCTCAGGTGCTTTGCTCGCTGTGATTGGTGTTGGGAATGCCAAGGTGATGGGAGCCAATGGGGAGCTTGTGGGGCTCGGGAATGTGCTGATGGTTGAGGGGTTGTCTGCTAACCTCCTTTCTGTGCGTAGACTGCAGAAAAGCAAGGCTGAAGTGACCTTCGGCTCAACCAGCTGCCGTGCAAAGCTTGGGAAGTTGCTGCTATGGAACCTGGACGAGAAGAGCAGCTGCATCAAGGAATCGTGGCAGCTGACCATCATCCCTTGGAATGGGAAACCTCCAGCAACGGCAAAGACAACTGCGGGAGGAGAGGAGACTGCACCAACTGTTGGGGCCCATGATGCAGTCAAGAAAGTGCAGCAGCTACAGAAACCACATGGTGAGGTGTTTGCTGGTGTGGATGGGACAGCTGCATGGGCAAAGGCTTCATCTGGGAGTGGTGAGGCTGATTGGGAGACGTGGCATGAGAGGTTGTGCCACATCAACATTCCTATGCTGCAGAAAATGGTGAAGGATGGGAGCTTGAAGGGGCTAGAGGTGAAGGGGGCAACAAAGGAGATTGGGAGCTGCCCTACATGCCTTGAAACGAAGTTCACGAAAGTTTCCCTTCAGCAGCGGCACGGGACCAGCCAAGGCACCACTCGCACTTGTGCACATGGATGTGGTGGGCCCTACGAGGGCCCCTTCTCTCTCGGGCAGCCGCTACTTCTTAACCATTGTGGACGACCACACGCGTGCTGTGTGGGTGTACCCTCTCAAGACCAAGGGGGGGGTGGCAGCGGCTGTTCTTAAAACCGGAGTCCCAAACAGGCCTAAACTGTCTCAACCTTCCTAACTTTGGTTGGGTGTGACCCAGTAGATATTGACTCACTTCGCAAATTGTCGGGACAAATTTCGTCACGCGAAATTACTGTACAAGCGAGAGCGATAGCAGTGGCGATTTCGCATTGAAGCCCGTCCAAAACTTTTGCGAGCCATTTCGTACGTTGCATTCAAGATCTGGTTGCACATACTCAAGCTCTGTGATCGACGTCCACAAATCTCGACACCACCCTGGTTCGCGCGCCACTCACGTCCCTTGCCCCAACCAAGCTTCCTAAGTTAGGAACTCTTGGAACTCCGGTTTTAAGGAGTGGATGTCGAGAGCTCAAATGGAGAGCGGACACAAGGTGAAGGTGATTCGCACTGAAAACAGGGGAGAATTCATGGGCGCTGATTTTGAGGCGGTGCTGAAGAAGAAGGGGATCCAGCATCAGCTCACAGTGCCTTACAACCGTCAGCAGAACGGCGTGGCTGAGCGGTTCAACCGGACCCTGCAGGAAGGTGCTCGCACTCTCCTTAGGCGTGCAGGGCTGCCGGATCCGTTTTGGGTGACTGCACTGCGACAGGTCGCCCTTGTAAAGAACAGGGTGCGGGGAACATGCAGTGGGTCTCCTACACCAAGTGGTGTGGGAGTGCACCAGCAGTCAACATGCTGAGAGCCTATGGCTGCATGGTGGTGTTTCATGTGCCTAAGGAGAAGAGGGGAAAGCTTGAAGCTTTTGGGAGATGGGGTGTGCACTTGGGGATTGCAAAGGACCACAAGGGCTGGTTGATATGGGACTTGACCAGCCAGCAGCTGACTGTGTCAAGGGATGTGAAGTTCCTTGTACTACAAGGAGTGGAAGCAGCAACAGCAGAAGCTTCCTACTACACTGCTGATCATTGAGGTTGATGAGGTGCAGCGGCCTTCGAGGCAAGTGCATGTCACCGTTCCAGAGGAGGAGATCACTGGGGTGACTGAGGATGGGGGAGAACCTGAGGTGGAGGAGCAGCAGCAGCAGCAAGATGCTCCACCAGCCCAACTTCCGCCTGACCGTCCTAGGAGGGATGTGCGCCCTCCTAACAGGCTGACCTATCCTAGTTTTGGAAAGCCAAATGTGGTACGGGCTGGGAGTGTGGCTGAGCAGTGTGATGAGGATGAGATAGCACACTGCTACTGGGCAGCCGTCCCTGAGCCCAAGACGCTAGCTGAGGCACTGAGCGGGCCCGATGCCGAGAAGTGGAAGCAGAGTGTGAAGGAGGAGTATGACTCTCTTTTGGAGAATGACACTTGGGAGTTGTGTGAGCTGCCTCCTGGGAAGAAGGCAATCTCTTCAAAGCTGATCTTCAGGCACAAGTATGGACCTGATGGGAAGCTGACCCGCTATAAGTCAAGGCTTGTGGCAAAGGGGTTTCAGCAGACAAAGGGGAATGACTTCGATGAGATTTTTGCTCCTGTGGGGAAAGGGACGACACTGAGGGTGTCCTTGGCAACGGCTGCAAACCGTGGATGGAGGATCAAGCAGATGGACATCACTACTGCCTTCCTCAATGGGATCATTCTGGAGGAGCTGTACATGCAGCAGCCTGAGGGGTTGGATGATGGGAGCGGCAGGGTATGCAGGCTGAAAAAGGCCATCTATGGCCTGAAGCAGGCTCCTCGTGCATGGTACCACAAGCTGGAGGAGACACTGCTGGCTGGAGGGTTTAAGAAGAGTGAATGTGACCACAGTCTGTTCCTGGTGTAAGAGAAGGAACAGTTCCTCATGCTCCTGGTGTACGTGGACGACACCCTTCTCTTCTCCGAGTCATCTGCTATGATTGACCGTGTGGAGGAGATGCTGTAGATGCAGTTCAAGTGCTCGAAGATGGGAGATGTGAAGTATTACCTTGGGATGCATGTGGAGAGAGACCTTGACAAGGGAGTGTTGAGGTTGCACCAGAGGAAGTATTGTGAGGGGATGGCTAAGAAGTATGGGCTCAAGATGGAAGAAAGCCAGCCACCCAACTACTTTCGGGTTTCACTGTGGAGCCCTGTGCTGATGAGGAGGTGGTGGGTGAGAGTGACAGGAAGCTGTTTCATTCCATGGTGGGGGCACTCAACTATGCGGCTAACCACACGCGGCCTGACATTGCATTTGCTACATCCAGGCTTGCCAGTGTGGTTTCACGCCCCAGTCATGAGTAGCTGGAAGCGGCCAAGAGGTTGGTCCGCTATGTGAGTGCAACGGCATCAGTGGGTTTGGAGTACAGTGCTGTGCGACAAAGGCTGCAAAGGGGTGCAGCAGACTTGAGCAAGGGGGGGATGCTCTTGACCTGCTACACCGACGCTAGCTTCAACTCAGTGAAAGCGGATGGCACCAGCATTGGAGGCTATGTGTGCCTGTTTGGAGGTGGTGCAGTGAGCTGGCGCAGCAAGAAGCAGAACGAGGTGGGGCTGTCCTCGTATGAGACCGAGTACATTGGCCTTCATCATGGGGCGAAGGAGGTGGTGTGGCTAAGGCGTTTGTTGGAGGAGATCGGAGTGTGCCAGAGGGAGCTGACAGTACTGGTTTGTGACAATGAGTCGGCTGTGAAATTTGCCAAGAATGCTTGTCTCCATGGGCTGACAAAGCACATCAGGCCTAAGTGGCATTGGGTGAGGAGGCTCCTGGAGAAGGAAGTGAGACTGGAGGTGGTGAAGACCCACCAGCAGGCGGCTGACATCCTCACCAAGCGCCTCGCTGAACCTGAGCATTGGAAGGGGATGAAATGAGTGTGCATTGAGGGTGCATGCTTGAGCTATGGCAGGTGGGATGATGATAGGCAGCCAGAGGGGGAGTTTGTTATGTGATGCTATCATTTGCATTCACGTCTGTCTGCCTCCCATCATATGTTCGTGCGTTGCATGCGTGGTGTGAGCGTGTGCAAGAATTTGTGTTCGGTGTGGTTTGGGTTTCTCTGAGTATGTGTGAATGTTATTTTGTCTTAGCAGATTTTTGAAATGACTTCTCTGCTTGAGAG